AAAAAATATCCTTTTAAGGAAATTGGGGTGTTACATTATCAATTTCAAATATCTAAGATATTGTTCAACTATAAAATGATATTATTTGTCTTTAGGTTATGTTGTTTAAAATTAAAATATTATATTTATTTAAGGTATATGCTTCCTATTTTAAGATTAGGATGTTAGGTCAATAAATAAATGCTCTTGAGATGAGAGGAATTTTTCAAACTTGTAAATGGGGGTCACTACTCTAAATGAGAGAAGGGGTCACTGTATGGAAGGTCTTACTGAGTTTTGCCTCAAAACTTGTAAGAAGAGTTTCTCAAGTTTTGCAAGAAAACTTGTTAGGAGGATTTTTAGAAAACTCATAGTACATTTTGAGATAATAAATATTGTTAGGTTAAAAGACAATCTTAGAACCCTCTAATCTTAAGTTTTATTGTTAACAAACACAGATGTTTTTTATCAATAGAATAAAGTTTTCTAAATGACTAAGATGGACCATCTAAAACGCAATCCGTCAATAAGATGAATCCTAGTATAAGATGAAAGTTACAATAAAACAATTTTGTTATTGAATAAAGACGACGTATCCTTAGTCATAAAAATATATATGCATTAAATATTTATCATTTACGATCTCTAAACAAGAAATTGACCACATTTGAATGTTTCCTTAATAGATCAAATTTTAAAATACTTCCTCAGTACCACCGTCCTACAAAATAAAAATAAAAAAAAAAATCTTTTACCTCAGGTAAGGACAAGTAGATCACTACAAACACAAAAAGAAATTGTTATATAGTTGTTTTAATACTACACTAACCTAACACACATGGTTCTACCTACTTAGTACGAAAAGGTGATAAGTAACTTATTTGATTATATAAGAAGTGACAGTTTTGTGAAAATATTTAATACAAAAATTTATTACACCAACAGACATTTATGTGCTTAAGAAGTAAATTATGAAGATAGACGAAGCAAGTCATGAGAGAGAAACTCAAGAATTTACAATGACCATCTTCACTAAAGTCTTATAAAAGAAAGTTTTAAGTTCAGAACGAAAGAAACGACAATCTAGAATGAAATATTATTTCTTCATTCTTTTTGTAATCATCTTTGTACTTAACCTGTTGTATCAAGTCTTGAAAGGAAGATGAAACAATTGTAAACCTTTTTGTAAACTCTTGTTTATGAAAGAATGCTCGTTGTTTGAGTTTGAAGAGACTTATTTACAAAAAAATACTTGATGTTAAAGTTTAGAAAAAGGCTTTGTATAAAAAGAATATTTGAGTAGTTACTAGGCAATTCAAAGAATACTTAAGATTAAGTCAAAAGTGGCTTGGTAAAAAATACTTGTATTTTTGATAAAATAATGAAACTTGATATAATTGGATCAAGAATTGAATGTAATCTTAGTAGTTGAGAAGAACTAATATAAATATTTGAATTCATTCTTTGCTTCATTTGTCCTTTCATATTTGTTATATTACTACTTCATTGTTTTAAGAAAAATGGGAGTTTTTAAGTAGTATTATTCACCCCCTTTCTAGGTATGACAGACTCAATCATATTAAATAAATTTTGTATAATCTTTCTATTTTTAATTTTTTCTTTATATTCTCTCTTCATTATGCATAAAGAGAAAAGAAGAGTATTTTTATTCCTAATAAGAGTTATATCCTAAATCAATTAAAAAAAGTCACTATCATGAAATTGGGCGTGAAGAGATCTATTGAATATATATATATATATATATATATATATATATAT